CCACAGGACTACTGTGATGGTTGCATGAGATGATGAATGTGTAAGCGCCGAGCCTGACGTTTGGCACAGAGGGCTGCTCAGCGTTCGCATTTCAGCTTGTCCCTCCTTCCTCGCCTGTTGTTCTCCAGCCACAAACACTGTTGGCATGTCATCACAGAAGTCTGTGGTTAGAACAAGTGAGTTCTGGCAGCAGGCTGCCCACCCACCTGGAAGTGCCCTTTTGGGGGGCGGGCAGTGCTCTTGCTGCTTCTCTCCTCATGGTACATCGTGATGTGATTTATTTACGAGTCTTTCCTGCCCACTGTGCTCTGACCTCTTCAATGTGAGAGACTGTGGTATTTGTCTCTGAATGCCTGGCACTCAGAGTTATGCTTATCACAGACAGGTGCCTTAGGCTTAATCCCTGAAGTCATGGTGACTGAGAGTCCCTCAAACGTCTCTCAGAGTCCCATAATCACCATGTGCCCTGTCCTGCAGTCTGTAAGAAGGGAACTTCTTGTCTCTGGACACTTCTTTGGACATGATAATGGGGAGTCATCCACAGTGTTTTTTCTCAACTGGTTTTTTTTTTGTCTGTCTTCCACCTTGGAAGTCCCCTGTCTCTGTCTTAGTTTCTTATTACAGGAAGCCCCTCGACTTCCCGGTGTGAGCTCCCTTCCTGCACTTCCCTGATGCACTTGCTCTGCACTGAGGCAGAAATGTTATCTTTGGTTCAGGATATTTCCTCTCTCTATTTTGATTTATCTTCTTTTATTTCTTTTTATGAAAAACTACACGTTACATAAAATTCAACATTTTTTTTTAGTCAGCTTCTCACTCTGTCATCCAGGCTTGAGTGTAGTGGCATGATCATGGTTCACTGCAGCCTTGGACTCCTGGGCTGAAGGGATCCACCTTCCTCAGCCTCCTGAGTAGCTGGGACTGCAGGCACTTGCCACCATGCCCAGCTAATTTTTAAAAAAATCTTTTGTGGAGATGAGATCTTGCTATGCTGCATAAGCTGGTCTTGAACTCCTGGGCTCAAATGATCCTCTTGCCTTGGCCTCCAGCCACCACACCTGACAAAATTTAGCAACTTAACTATTTTTAAGGGTACGTGCAGTTCAGTGGTATTACATATATTCGCAATGCTGTGTAATCACCATTGCTATCCATCTCCAAAACTCTTTCCATCTTGTAAAACTCAAGCTCCATGGCCATTAAACAACTCCCCATTCATGCCTCCCCCAGGCTGCAACCACTATTCTACTTTCTGTCTCTATAATTTTGACTACCCTATGTACCTCATGTAAGTGGAATAATAAACTGTTTTGTCTTTTTTTGTGAGTGGCTTATTTTACTTAGCATAATATCTTCAAGTTTCACCCATTTTTTTGTAGCATGTAATAGCATTTCCTTGTATTGTAAAGCTGAATAATATTCCACTGTATGGACATACCACATTTATCCATTCATCTGTTGATGAAGATTGTCTTGAGTTGCTTTCACGTTTTAAGTATAGTGAATAATTATGCTATGAACAATGTGAATATTTGTGAACAATATGTATTATTGAAAAGAATTCTGCTAGGTACAAATATCTCTTCAAAACCCTGCTTTCGGTTCTTTTGGGTATAAACACAAAAGTGGAATTGCTGGATCATATGCTAATTCTATTGTTAATTTTCTAAGGAACCACCATACTGTTTTCCAGGTGGTGGCAACATTTTACATTCCCATCATCAGTGCACAAGGGTTCCAGTTTCCCCACATTCTTGTCAACACTTTTTTTTCTGTTCTTTTTGTTTTTGTTTTTTTTTACTACTAGACATCCTAATAGGTGTGAGGTAGTATCTCATTGTAGTTTTAATTTGCATTTCCCCAATTATTAGTGATGTTGAGCATCTGTTCATATGCCTGTTGGCCATTTGTATACCTTCTTTGCAGAAATGTCTGTTCAAGTCCTTAGTTCAGTTTTCGATCAGGTGTTTGCTTTTTGCTGTTGAGTTTTAGGAGTTCTCTGTTATCAGATATATGATTTGCAGATATTTTTTCCCATTCTGTGAGTTGTCCTTTTACTCTGTGGTAGTGTCTTGATGCTCAAAAGTTTTACATTTTTATGAAGTCCAATTCATCTGTTTTTTTCTTTTGTTGCCTGTGCTTTCGGTGTCATATCCAAGAAATCACTATAGTGATTTCTTCAGTGTCATAGAGTTTTTGTCCTATATTTTCTTCTATAAGCTTTGTAGTTTTAGGTATTACATTTAGGTCTTTGATTCATTTTGAATTAATTTTTGAATTTGTTTTTAGGTAAGGGTCAACTTTATTCTTTTGCATGAGGATAGCAAGTTTTTCCAGCATCATTTATTGAAGACTGTTCTCTTCCTATTGAATGGTCTCAGTACCTTTGTCAAAAATCATTTAACCATACATGTAAGGGTATATATCTATACTCTCTATTCTATCTTATTGATCTTTTTGTCTGTCTTTATGTCAGCACCACACTAGTTTTGATTACTGTAGCTTTGTAGTAAATTTTGAAATTGAGAAATGTGAATCTTCCAACTTTGTTCTTTTTTTTTCTTCAAATTTGTTTTGGCTGTTCGGGGTTTCTTGAGATTCCATATGAATTGTAGGATGGGTTTTTCTGTTTCTGCAAAAAAGTCATTGGGATTTTGATAGGGGTTGCACTGAATATGTGGATCACTTTGAATATTATTGACAACAATATTAAGTCTTCTAATACATTAATATGAGATGTGTTTCCGTTTATTTATGTCTTTTAAAATTTATTTCAGCGATGTTTTGTAGTTTTCATTGTAAAAGTCTTTCTCCTTGGTAAGTTAATTCCTTTTATTTTTTTATGTTTGGTGCTATTGTAAATGCAGTTTTTTTTTGTTATCTCTTTTCAAGGTTGTTCATTGTTAGTGTACAGAAATGCCTTCTCTGCTCTGTTTTTATAATGACAGTGCCCATCCTCCCTTCAACCTCTCCCTTCCTCATCATTTCAAGTGTGTGTGCCTCAATGCTTTGCCTGTTCTTGTTCCCTTTGGAGAGAGGGTGGGACAGGGATCTGGTGGGGAGATGGGAAAATGCTATTCTCTCCTGTAGAAATTGGAGACTTTTCAGTTATTTAAGTCTCATGCATTAAAAACTAGAAAATCCTTACCGAGCATTGTGGATTACATTTCATAAATCTTTACCTTTTCTTTTAGCACTCTCTGGCAGATCCATCTCCCTCCCAACCTGAGTTTCTTCCAACATTCTGCCTTCCTCTGAGCCTCACCATGGTGACGTGCTCAGGGATAGCTAGAACTCTCAGCTATGCATCAGCGCTGCCAATTCTCTTAGGCATTGTGTGGAGAGCTGTCTACATTCCATGCCAGAAAACCTTTTACATCCTGGTGCCATTACTCTCACTCTTAACTCAAATAATGTATCATAGCCAATGGGAAGGAATTTCAGTGTTTTGTAGGTTCAGGCACTTATTTGACATTAAGTATCTGAATGAAATTTGAACAACCCAGTCTCACTGGGTCATTTAATCTATCTGATGACAAACACTATGGTTTTCACAATACCTTAAGAACAATTAGTTATGTCCTTCATTTATAAAGTGCATCTTGAGTATCATATAATTAAATTTGAGACTTTATTTTTGACAGAAAATAAGAATTCATGATTCCAATTTTTTCTTCTTCAAAATAGTGCAATGTGGTGTTTTATTGTGAACTTTTAGTCTACTCCCTTTCATTTCCTTCCTTTTTAACTTTCCAAACTGAAAGCATTATATTAACTTTTATACAAAGACTATTAATGATCCCATAGCAATTATTTGGTTAGGTAGAGGAGAATGGATTTCCAGAGGTAAAAGGGAGGTCAGGGCTAATTGAGTCCCAAACCCTCATTTTACAGGAACTGGAGGATTAAGTGACCTGTTCAATGTCAGGCAGTTAGACAGCCCTAGGATCCTAACATAGAATCCTATGTTCTTTCTACCCTACCATTACAAAAAAACCCAAAAAACCTATTATTTTATTGATGACAATGAAGAAATATGGTAACTCCAGGAAAGAATGTATCATAACAAATGGAAGGAATGCCAATGTTTTGTAGGATCTGTTGTGTGCCAGGTACTGAGCTTAGCACTTTATATTATTTTTTTCATTTGGTTTTCATGGAAGTTTTATTATATTCTCATTTTACAAATGGGGAATTTGAAACTCACAGCAATTAGGTACGTGCCTGTTCAGGACTTGTGGGTCTTTTTCCAAAATCTTGGCTCTGTAGCTCAGTCTCTTGTTTTCTCTTGAAGCAGATTTACATGTATCCAAATAACAATAAAGTGCTTAATTAGAGTTTATAAAATACTTTAACATTTACTATTTTTATGGAGAGATTATATGGTTTCCTGGCCTTGAGTCTGCATGACAATCATTTATTGCATTTGGAGACAAACTGTCAACTCTCTTAGGCAGTGTGTAGAGAGCTGTCTAGATTTCATGTCAGAAAATCTAATCTCACATCTTGGTGCCATCCCCCTAGCCCTTACCTCTGAGGGTGATTATCTCTCCACAGAAGACTTTGTTTAAATTCCATCTCCAGGTCAGACACTTCACTAGACACTGGCCAAGTAGTCTGCGGTTTTTTTTTCTTTCTTTTTTTTCCCCCGACCTGCATGGGACTTACAAGTACTGATTCTGGAGTCACATGCATAGTTTAAATTCTGACGAAACCTTGGGCTAGATACTTGGCTCTTTGTGCCTTAGTTTTCTCATCTGTTAAATGGAATGATGCCAACTTCACAGGATTGTCATGAGGATTAAATGAGAAAGACTTGTGGAGTGTGGCATATGATAGGTACTCAGTGGAAGTAAACACATTATGTACTGTAAAGTACTATGCAGTGTAAGGGCCTTTTACTTGCCTGTAATATAAAAATTATTACATTACTGTGACGTGCAATGGAAAATCTCTGTTACACTTCTTACTTTTATCCATTATTCTCTTTGGTCTATCAGAGTCCAGCAGAAATAGTAGATGAGAAAAAAGATGGAGAGAAAGCAAACAAGGATGAAGAACAGAAAGAAGATTTTTCAGGAATGAATGGTGAAGTGGAAGAGAAAGGAGGTGCAGAGGCTACAGATGCCCCTGAGCAAGTTGAGGAGATCCCTGGTCACAGTGAGAAACAGGCAGGTCCTGCTCGTGTGAATGGAGGCACAGATGAAGAAAATGGTGAGGAACTGGACCAAATTAACAGTGAGCTTCAACCATTAGTGGATGAGGAAAGAAAGTCTCAAGGAGCTGGCAGTGCAAAAGTTGAGGTATTTCTATTGATTTTGCTTACTTATGTACATGCATGGATACGTGTGTATGCATAACGTGTATTTGTGCATGTGTGCATGTAGGACTTACATTGAAGTCATTTATGGTTGAGTAGGAAAATATAACACCATTTAATTCATTTCATTTACTACTTATTTTAGTTGGTTGACAAGTACTGCCATCTGCCTATCTGACAGTCCATATGTCTGTCTTTCTGTCATCCATACACTTATCCATTCATCCATCCATCTCCTACCCCATTCGACAAAAACTTTACAGAACCTTCTAAGAACATACATCATAAAAGGGTGAAATAAAACAACAAAAATAAATTAAGACCAGAGAAGATACAAACCAGACAAGAATATTGAGACCAGTGAGATTTAGACATGAAATGAATTACACCATCTCTATTATGGGTGACTTCTTTGCCCGTTAGAAGCGTTGAGTCTAGTTTGCTTAGCCCACCTTAAATGGGTTAATTGAATTAAGTTTTCAACACACAAGACACTTAATATATAGTTCTATTTATTATACAGAGAAGTTAAAGAAATATGTGGTGAAAGACAAAGAACAAACATAGAAAAATGGAAGAAGTCTCTCTTTGTTTTTGTTTTTTTTTCTTATAAAGTTGTGGGGTACAATTCAGGGTTGCATATACAAACGTTGATTATGCAGGTACCCTTGTTGGTGAGGTATACCCCTCCCCTAGCAGTTTCCCTCAACTGCCAATCCCACCTCCCCTCCAACAATTTCCCACTACTGCCAATCCCTTTCTTATAGTATTATAATTGTTCAAGATCTGCTTATGAGTGAGAACATATGATACTCTGTTCTTTGTTTCTGTGATAGATCACTGAGTATGATCAACTCTAAATCCATTCAAGTTGCTGCGAAGTCCATATGTTTGTCCTTCCTTATGGCCGCATAATATTCCATTGTGTATATGTACCATTTTTTAAATCCAGTCCAGGTTCGATGGACAACATGGTTGGTTCCATGTTTCTACTATTGTGAAAAGAGCTGCAACAAACATACATGTGCAGGCATCATTTTTGTAGAATGATTTGCATTCCTCTGGGTATATTCCCAATAGGGGAATTGCAGGGCCACGTGGAAGATCAATTTCTAGTTCTTACAGAAATTGCCACACTGTCTTCCAAAGAGGTCGCACTTGTTTGCATTCCCATCAGCAGTGTAGAAGCATTCCTTTTTCTCCACATCCTTGCCAGCATCTGATGTTGTTTTTTTAAATTAAGATGGCCATTAGAAGCCTCTCTTTGTAGCCTGTTTTTCCATCTTTGCCCTGAAGCAGGTCTCTCTCTAGTCCTGGCATTCTTGCACTGGACGGATGAAGTCCCATAGGATGGATTAAGTTCCATGCTGATGAATATGACACAGTTGCTGCTAGGCTCAAGTTGCATATCATAGCATAAGAGGCAGGATGTACTCACAGCATTCTCACCATCTGCTTATTCCCTCTCTTTCTGTCTGTCCATCAGATCAAGGTCAACCTCCTTTAAGGCTGCAACCTCTGAAGTGGGCCTTGGACTACCCATTCCTGCTACCCAACTGTGTTGGGTTGGGGGTTCTTCTTGATTATTATTTACTCATCTGATTTATCTTGCTTAGGGAGGGCAAGTTTAGCAATGGCAAAATGCAAAATGTTCTTGTGGCCAGGTTTAAATAACAGGAGAAAGTTAATCCACTGTATAGCTTATTCAAAACATTTTAACATCTAAATGAAAACACTCAGTATGTCTCTCATTTTATCTTTTCTCAAGGTGAGATCATAACATTCCTATGATCAATGTTTGTATACCTAAACCTGATATGTACCCCACATCTGTATAATAAAAATTAAAATAAAAAAAGAAATTCCCCATATGTAGTTCTACATAGTCCTCAGTGTCACTTATATGGCAGCTACAGTAGTGGGTATCACAAAGCTCTTTATTGTAGTAGCCTTTGATAACAGTTTACAACATGAAATCAAAGTGTAAGTCTATGTGGGGCTAGATAGTAAGATCCAAGGATGACATTTTCCAGTGGTCTAGCTTAATTCAATGTCTGACCTAAATAGATTTTACAGAAATGAATGAATTTCATTTACAGAAATGAATGAATTGCCTGTCCCTTAGTTTTCCATAAATATAACTTTAAAAAATAATTCTGTGAAGCAAAGAAGGACAAATACCTCATGATCTCACTTATGTGTGGAATCTAAACAAGTTGAACTTATAGAAACAGGAAATGAATGGTGGTTGCCTAGGGCTGCGGGTGAGAGTTGGGTAGATGTTTGTCAAAGGTTACAAAATTTCTGTTAAATAGGAGAATTAAGTTCAAGAGAGCTATATGGTGACTGTACTTAATAACAATGTATCATATACTTGAGAATCACTTGGGGAGTAGATTTTAAGTGTTCTTGCTACAAAAGATGACAAATATGTGAAGTAATGTATAAGTTAATTAGCTCAAGTTAGCCTTTCCATAGTGTATACATATTTCAAAACATCATGTTGCCTGCTATAAATATATACAATTTTTATTTGTCAATTAAACAATTTTTAAAAGAAAAAATAGGCCATTTTGGTAGGAACTGGACAGCTGTCAAGATGAAGGTTAGGCAATTTGGTAAGGGTCTAAAATATAGGTATCTGTGATATGTAATGAGGATGAATTCAAATTCTTGGGAACTCAACTGAGCTAGAGTCCAATTTGTGACTAGTTAGGGATTTTAAGGGCTATACAAATGCCTAACAGAAAAGTTACTCACAAAGAGGTTTAATCTTATTTGACTCATCTCTCCCTTATAATGATGATATATTTTATTTTTAAATATTAGTGTAGGTATTTTTAAATATTAGTGTAGGTATGCTTTAAGCATACAAATTTTTTGAGAAACCATATTTGCGTGAATTATAAGTTAGAGATTAATAATAAACTTATACAGAGAGATTCTTTAATAATAAAATGACTAAAGGATTTTAAGGGCTGTACAAATGCCTAAAACAGAAAAGTTACTCACAAAGAGATTTAGTCTTATTTGACTCATCTCTCCCTTATAATGATGATATATTTTATTTTTGTTCTCCCTAAAGTATTAGTGTAGATATACTTTAAGCATGCACATTTTTTGAGAAGCCATATTTATAAGAATTTTAAATTAAAGATTAATAATGAACTTATACAGAAAGATTCTTTAATAATAAAATGACTGCAAGTTCAGTTTTCCATGTTACATTTGTTTCATGTAACAGTTATTGTTTAAAGTGAGATATGATTATAAGAAATCAGCAGGAAATACAGACAAATACACAATAGACAATTGACATTTATTGAGATTGAGCTTGTGCTACAAGATATCATTTGAGACATTTCACAAGGTAACAATGTGAAATAAGCAATAACCTTGGTGTTTTATATATATATACACACATATTTATTTTTTCAGCACATAAATCATAGCCTGTCAGGTTTGGGGGACCTGGAGCTGCTCTTAATGTCTCCCAGAGTGGTGGCCTTTGTGGGAGCTATAGAGCCTCTGGGATTTCTTGGAGCAGAGTTTGCAAACCAACTAGTTCTAATCTCACCTGCTTAAAAAGACAAGTCACAAATGAGGCAATGTCATTAATAACATGCAAAATCCAAGTGACTGGAGCAATAACTGCTGTCAGAGAAATGCTGCCTCCGCTTTTTTATTTTCTGTCCTGCTCTTATCTGGTTGATACTTGATGGTACTTGGTACCACCATTCACAATGAATTTGTGAATTCTAGGAGAAAAGTAAAATTAGAATAGCATCAGGCATGGAGCTGGATTAATGTGGCATGAGGGTGAAACTGCTGCATTTTCCTCTTGTCTCTGAAAATGCTAAACTGAAAAGTAAAAGTATAAGTATGCTATTGAAAAGAAAACTCAAAGGAAAATAAAGGAAAGAATGAGAAAAATAAAGTGTGCGATATACGAAATGAGTCGGTGCCTTTAAAGCACATAGTGGATTATGGTCCACGAAGGGGTTTTTGTACAAGTAAAGTGTTGAGAAAATGGTATGTCCACTGGCTAATGACAGATGAAAAAATAAAGAGAGCATAAGGAACTGTTTTGAGTTGCATATTATATGATTAAATAAAATATTGAGTAAGTTTTTCTTTGTAAATCTTATTGCCTTTGTAAATCAAATAGGTAAATATCTTTGTTTTGATCTATTTTCCTCCAGGCTGATGTAGACTCTCAAAGACCACCAAGGCCAGAAGTAAAAATCACTAGTCCACAAGATGAAAACAACGAACAAAACAAAGGCTATGCTGACGTGGCATAGATGCTTTTTAAAAAGAGAATATATGGATCATAAGAAAACATGAAGGGTTATAACACTTGAATACTAAACACATAGCTTTGCATTGCTAAGCATAATGTGATACTGTGGTTGAATACTACCTATTAAATTTTAACATTATTAGCCCATTGGAAATACTAGATAACTTTTAATAGCTACTAAAGGAGAATGACTTATTTTATGGCATGTGTTTTTTTAAAAAGTCATATAGAAAAATAAGAGAGACAAAGGAGAATTTGCACTGGAAGACAATTGGCCACTTGTCTTTATAAAGGATAAAAAAATAGTATCACTCATTGTATCCTTATTATAAATTTAGAAGTGAGATTATTGGGTAGAAGCTTATTCTAAAGAGTTTATCTAAGAAGGCTAGAACTTTAAAGTACTGAAAATAAAAAAGCGTGTACTATTTTCTTAAAGCAATAAACTGTTGAATGAACAAATTGAAATTTATTTTCAGAGATAATTCAGAGATAACAATAGATTGAAATGTTTCCATGACTTGTTGACATGCCTTTTTTGTTGTTGTTCTTAGCCAAAATCCTTGAATGAACTAAAAAGACAATGCAAGGTGTTCATTTTGGTAGAAGAAAGCATTAGTGACTAGTATTGTTATGCCTTTCCCTAAGTGCTTTCCAGTTTTAATGTTTATGGCTGCAGTGGTGCAACTCAGGAAGGAACCATAAAGGAACACCCCAATATTACTGATTCTGGTTGGATGACTTGCAAATTCTGGAAATTCTATGGATTTTCACGGATCTAGTCTACCTTTATCAATAATATTCTTTCCTTCTTCTTTATATTATTATGTTAGAAAATTCAATATTGATTATTCCGAAGATTAAATTCCTCCCAGATAGATTTTTTTTTAAACAAAGCATAAGACAATTAATAAGAAGGAAAAAGTATGAAGAGTTTGTGACTGCTCAATTTCACTTGCTTTTAGCTTTATTTCTATTGGGACTGCCTTGTGATATTTTTGCCCCTAAGGATATCAACAAATATTTATTTTTCCTAGATGGATATTTAGACTTTCAGCCCGACTCCTTTCTACATAATGATAAGCCATTTGATAGAAATTGTTGAAAAACTTTAGAGATTGTTATAATAAAACCAACTCCTAATAACCACTTTGTGGACTGATTACATTAATTTGTAATTGTCTTGTGAGGTATATGTGGGGAAAAACTTAGTTACATTAGCTTTTGATTTCTTAAGAGATGATACTGTGCTTCTTTAAATATAAAAATAATATATTTTCTCATATTAAAGAATATGTTTGTAATTGGTAGAAGTTGTAAAATTGAAATTTTGACTTCTAGTGCTTTCATAATATTTTTAAATCATAAATTTGAATGATTTTTTTTCCTTACCAGTTTCATAACCAACCATTTGGAATCATAAAGGTTGGAAATTATTATTATTATTATTATTTGAGTTGGTGTCTCACTCTGTCACCCAGGCTGAAGTGTAGTAGCATGATCACAGCTCACTGCAGCCTTGACCATCTGGGCTCAGATGACCCTCCCTCCTCAGTCTTCTGAGAAGCTGGGGCTACAGGTGTGTGCCACCACACAGGCTAATTAAAAAAAAAAAGTTTTTAGATTTTTTGTAGAGATGAGGTCTTGCTATGTTGCCTAGGCAGGTCTTGAACCCCGGGGTTCAAATGATCCTCTTGTCTTGACCTCCTAAAGTGCTGGGATTACAGGCATGAGCCATCGTGCCTGGCCTGGAGTCAAAAAGGTTAGTAGTTGCATAAAGCACTTAATAGTATAGAAAATAGATATTTTTTTTCTTAACAGCTATTTTAGTATTTTCCACAAATAGGAAGTATACACAGAGATTATAATGTAACAGTATTTGAAAGAGATAATAACACAAGGATACAGTAATCTGAGAGGATGAATTATAAATGGAGTACTATATTTCTGGTATAAAATCTAAATCGTGCTTTCTACTAGTAGGCATACTTTTACCAATGAGACAATATAAAGCACTATGGACTACACACAGCAATCTTGTGTTGCTAGTGAAATAGACCAACTGGTCTATGATTTTAAATAGTTTATGAAAATAAGGGATTAAATGTAAGAAGTTATAACTAATTATCAAGGTGATTCTTTTTCTTTAATGAAAAGTTTTAGTCTCTTTCTCTTTTTCTTCTTTAATAAAGATATTTCTCTCTCTCTCTTTTTCCTGTCCTATTCTTCATTATATTATGAAACTTAGGTTTTAGGGAACTCCTTAAGAGTCATTTAATGAAGTGCAACATTGATATCTTTACATGAGAAACAATGTTTGGTATTTTAAATAATCTTAAGAAGGCAATAGGTCACAATAACTGTAGAAAAAATGTAAATAAATAATTGTGGACATATTCTTCTCTTATGTGTGCATAACTTACTACTTGTTGACAAGATATAACTGTGACCTACTTTAAGGGAATGAATGACAACTAATCACTTTACAATGCTTTGCAAACATATATTACATTTTTAGAAAATATCATGTACCTAAGAAAGAAATCCTTCACAGAGAGTTAAAATTGTGGACACCATTTTGGAGATGACTTTAGCATATATGCTGAAAGTTAATTTTCCTCGCAAATGTAGTTTTCTCTGTGGGAAGCGATAGTCTTCACGGCAGACCAGCTCCCCAAATTAAGTGACACTTACTGATGAATATGGGACCATTTGTGTGAGCGGATGGAAGAGATCCTGGTTAGACTTTGTGTATTGTTTTCCAGAGAGAGGGTGCTATGGAAAACTTATGTCGCTTATATGTGATAACCAATATAATGCTTTCAGATGTTAATTCTTTGTGATGCTGTGTACAGAGATTTCATAGTTTTAATTTTATGAAACCACTTTCTTAAAGTTAGCTAGTTTTAAAAACACTTGTACAACTGGTTTGTTAATGAAATTGGAATATGAGGAGCTTAGCAGGATAATGACGTTTTGACAAAGTCATTTTCAGGCTAAAGATGTTTTACCTATTGAGTGCCCATTGACTTCTAGTTATAAAATATGATGTCAGAACGATAAGGCAACCTTTTACTCATTATGTTTTTCTTAGCTATGGGATGACTTTTATTTATTAATATATTTTTAAAATGTATTTTTTAGGGGAATTTTAGAATAACAGACTCGTAGAAAAAGTATGATACTATCATGTCTTCTATTTTATTCTGAAAGTGTAAATTCTTGCCATGGTATATAATGACAGAACCATCCCATATATATGTGACTCAGAGTCAGTTAGATATCTCTGTAGGCTCATAATTATGAAGGCATACTAATATGACATTATTCGTGCTAACTCTTCTGGTTTATAGCTTATAAACCAACACTCTTAAAATTTCTATTAAATGACCTATGTTATGCACAAAGGATATAGTTCATCTAAAAAAAAATCTGTGTATTTGAAATTCTGGCTGTAGGACAACAAGAAAACTTCTTTATCTCATTAACTAATTCTCTAAGGAATTAGATCTACACTTTCATTTTTTTTGTGCAACAAGTGACAAAAGCAAGTCTAAAAAGTAAATTAATTGCTGGACAGAAAGCATCATATCTGAACAGAAATATAGCATATAGATATAGATTTATCTCAAATACTTGTACAGATACACTCACACACTTCAAAACATTAAAGAAACCTCCTCAGGCACAGCATTATTAATAAAATAAGGCTCTTTTGGGTGAAGCTGAGAGAAGCAATGAGTAAAAATGTGAGAGAAAAGGCTAAAAAATTATATACATCGTGGTGCTTTAAATCTTGGCTCCCTAAGACTTTAAGAGATTTAAAATTATTCTCCAAGTAAGAAATAAACCAGCATTTTACTGAAAAATGTGTTCTATGGAGGGATGTTAAATTTGTTTTATTTAAATGTTATCTATCATATCAAACAACACCACCAAGACATACATTTTTTTTTTTCCTGAAGTAACTATACAGTCTTTGTCATCAGCCATAAGTACCACACACTTCAGGTGCAGAATATTTTATACCAGTACAGGCTCTGTCAAAAATTATTTCTGCTTGTGAATGTGTGTATGAGATTAGCATGAATGTACCAAGGACTCTTTTTGATATCACTTAACCAGGTGTACTTCAAATAAAATAGAAGACTGACTTATTGGTCCACTAGTTTATACGATTTTTAGGTTCAATGCAGTAGCATTTTGGCATTCTTGTGTGAATGTAATATTGTAATGTTTTCCTGGAATGGAACAATTTTTCTTTAAAATTAGTCTGTTTTTCTAAGGCAATAAGCACATACAGTTCTTTGTTATTAAATATCATTTTTATAAATACTGTAATATTTTTGCTTTTTAAAACACGTCCTGGTATGTGGATGGGTCTGATTTTTGTTTTCCCCACGTCAGATTTGCATATTTCCTCTTATGAAGTTTGAGGACATGAATGGAGAATAAAAGAGTGACTCCTTTTGTTGATGTTTTTTATAAGATATAACATTCTGTAAGAGATGGAGAATTAGGAAATAATTTTAAAATGTCTGGATAACTATGAAACATTTATAAAATCAGGAGGTAATGGAGCTCCACTGGCTTAGGCCAACAATGACTTAATCTTTAATCTATGAAAAAGATCAAATTAATTCTCTGTAGTCTCATCAGCTTAAACCAGATAATTTAACTGAGTGTTTCAGTTATTGTCACAAATGTAATGACATGTGGGAAGAGGGAATAATTGTAGTCAATTTCAGAAGAATTTTGGAGAAACCCTATTTTTTCTTGCCTCAGTGTTTTTCTTGTGTCTTAGTCCTTTAATATGTACAATGATAATGGGTGATTATTGATTATGTCAGTAAAGATTAAATTGAACTCACTGTTTTTGTATGATTTATTGTGTTTAGAATGTTTCTCTGTAAGGAAAATTATCTGATCAAATTATGAGCATTTATGTTTTTACTTCTGCATCACTGCACACTTTAAAATGCAAAAGTTTACCATATCTTTTGAGTAAATACATCTGCATTTTATACAATTAAAATGTGTTTGGATGGTTTATTAAACTTCATTATGTAAATAATTTTTTTTACACTTTCATATGAATGTTGTTTATTTGATAAAAAAAATTTTAGGTGTGTTTTTTAAAAATCACTGTTTCTTTTTTTTAGAGATGGGATCTCACTATGTTACCCAGGCTGGTGTCAAACTCCTGAGTTCAAGCAATCCTCCCATCTAGGCCTCCCAAACTGCTGGGATTACAGGCACAAGTCTCAGTACCTAGTCAAAAAAATCACTGTTTTTATGATGAAATGGTTTTATAGAAACTTAGATCCCAAATTTTTATGATAAAAGTGTATTTTAAAGCAGAGTAGATTATACACATCACACACATCCCCCTTCTTTATTTATTTTTGTGGCATAAGGTTATCTTGGCTCTTGTCTTAGGTTGTTCTCGCTTCACCTTGGTTGTTACCCGTCATTGGCTTATTCCCCCTCTACGCGGGGAATGCCTGTCTTAGGTTCATACCAGGTGGCTGGAATCTTACCTGTCATTGAATACCAAGACTTCTTTCTTATACCACATGTTCAGTGGGGCGTGGGGCTTGTAGCTTTATCATATGCAAATCTCTTTGCAGTGTTATAATAGAGGTCCAGATAGATCTTATAATGCATGGTCCAAGACAATACAATAACAGGCCAACAATGCTTATTGAAATTATTGGGGTCAGCCATTTCCATAATGCCTGAGTTGGAGATCCAATAAGGTTTTGAATTTTATTGAATATGTCTTTAGCCATATCCATAGGAAGCACATCTATATGTGCTTGACTTAATGCCAATATTTCTTTGTGAAGTTTTTGTAGATCTAAGGATTCATTGCTACTCTCCCATAATCCTTCTAAATGGTGTTTTACTTTCTGCCAGTGACTGGAATTGCCCTGGTAAGTTTTGTTAGTTACACAAATCCATTGATACTCTGCATGACATTTGATTCTGCTATGGGTGTACACGGTGTCTACACGGTCCCCCAAATTGGTGACAGCTTCATACAATAATTGTAACTTTTGTTCCATTTTTAAATCTATCTTTTCCTGAGTTCCCATCATCTGGGAAACGTTACCAGTAAGGTTGTTAATGAAATTAGCAGATTGTATGGACGTTGTGAGGCTTGCAGCTGCAGCTGCTGTGGATATAATCATGGTTATCAAAGCCAATATACCTAAAACTATTAACCCTACACCCCTTTTTTGTACAGATAACATGTTTCTTAAATGTTATAATACACTGTACCCTTTGTCTTCATACCAAGGGGTAGTAATATTCACAGGTAAAAACACAAAAGGGGGTTGATGAACCAATACTACCATAATGTGCTCATCAGTTAAATAATGTAAACAGTTAGTCAAATTACAATTTGTACAATTGATAATCGAAGTCGTATTATAGTCCGGATTAGGGGTAATGTTAAACGCACCAGAAGTCA